TTAAACGACCGCTTTCTTAATAAATTATTAACTTTAATTCTTTTATTTTTTTTCTTACTAATTGAGAATAAACAGTTATTTTATTATTATTTTTTTGTTTTTTTGCTTTCTTTTACACATAAAAATTTCTCATTATTTTAGTTTTAATAACAGACTAATCTTTTAAAAAATGGATAATGATAAAGACAAAACCATTAAATAATTAATTTTTTAAAAATGAAAAAGCAGTTTATTTTCGAATTTATATATATTAAGGAATAACTTTTATAAAAAGTATAAATTAATAACAGTCTAAGAAAACTTGCATTGGTCTAAGCTTATTTTATAATTTACAATGATTAATTATATAAGGTATTTGGAGTGGTTTACTAGAAAAATAAACAAAGCAGAAATATATAAAAGCTGAAGATGATTCTTGCATAAGAAAATGAATTATATATTTACGCTTGTTAAGATTTTATCATTAAATATAAAGAAATAGAAGAAACTCTCGACGTGAGCATTTAACATTTAATTATTCAAGCCGTTTTCATTACAAAATTTTATTTATAAATATTTTTACATTAGTATTTTTGCTAAGTCCTGGGTGGCATTGATATTTGAGAAAAAGTCTGGAGAGGGCCAGTTATTGAGAAAGCCATTAATGGTGGCAGCGACGATTTTTCTCACCAAACTATCGATTGACAGACTTCAGTTCTATTCAAGCCAGAAAGAATAGGAGAACGATTAAGTTAGGAAGAGGTATGTACAGGCTGAAAATGAGGGGAAAAGAATGCGAAGTTTGACAGAAGACGATCATTATTAAATAGAGTTGAGGACATCGTCCTGCTTGATATCTACTTAAGGTGCTAAATTTAAACTATGCTGGATCGTATTTATCCCTTATATATTCTTCGTTTGCATGCAATGAAATATTCATATTTGTGAATAGTCTTTTCCCCTTTTAAATGCTAGCTCAATTTTACAAATCTTTTAAAAGATACGGGATTAGGAGTGAGAGAAAATTTTCTTTTACAAAGTATAAAAGAAAAATCCATTCCGCATTTAAACAGGGAGAATCTCCATGAAGAAAATTCGATTGAAAGAAACAATATAAAACATTGAAGTAACACATCATTAGTAAGACGACGAGTTTCAGATGTGCACACGTTTTAAATGACGCAGACAATCATTTCTAAACATTTGGCAAACTGACAAAACATTGCCTACTAATGATGATAGTTTTTCAGGGCAATAATAAAACTTCTGAACATTCTATCTGTCATGACTGACACTTCTGAGTCGAAAACACCTGAAATTTATGAAGGAGAAGTGACGTATTTTTAAAATAATGAGCGTGATATTATTCTCATTTTTTTTAAATTTACATCACGGCGTAACTCTGATATTTACAGCAATATATATATATATATATATATATACCTTATACTTTTTGAATTTAGAAGAAGTTTAATTATATCGTTCCACTTAAAACATCTGACATTCGCTGCAGCTGTGTNATAATACTGTTAATTTATTATATATATACCGCATAATGTCATCAATGTATACCTAAGTGAATATCAAAGATTGAATAGTTTAGAAATTAAATATTTTAAACAATGTCCTGTGCTAATTGAATATTTAAAGCTGAATGTTTTAAAGGAGAGAGAAAGAGAAGAAAATCGATTTTTAACCATGCTTAAAGATTGAGGAACAGGGCAGAACGGTTAATGATTAAATTTAAAACGAGTGAAGTTTTGGTACGATTCAATCGATCCATTTAACTTACTCCATAATTGTTTTTCCGCCAATCAATTTCTAGTCAGAAAAAGAGTGATGTTGCTCTGACAGGTTGTGATTTACCGTAGTCTCAACCAGAAGAGGAGATCCAGTGACATGTGATTAAACCAGGAGAATGAAAGACGGTGATTTTCTGATCTGGTTACATCAAATTGTTCTCAATATGTACAGTGTTATATTGGTGCCCCTTACGTTTTATTAAGAGTTACATCCCAGGTTTTTTTTGTTTTATTAGTTAGTAACTATTAAAACATTTTAAAAAAACTATGGTTTAACACTTAAAAAAAGGGAGAAACCATTATAACACTGTACATGTTTTCCATTATGTTTTATTAAGCGTTACGCTCCTTTTTTTTTATATATAATTATTAAGAAAATTATCTTTAAAAATTCTGTATTAAACTTCTTCGAAATTAAAATTTTTCTAATTCGAATAAATTTACTTTTGTATAAAAAAATAAATACATATAAAACTTATTAATAAATTAACACGTTGAAGCAGATATATTAAATTATTATTTATAGAAGCGTAAAAGTAAATTTAATTACTTTTAAGCTTGGATCTACAAATAATTTTTTTATGTATATATATAACTGGTTTGCTTTAATGCTGGAAAAGTTTGTTTTAATCGTCAATGTAACGAAGAAAGTGATGTGTTTTTCTACAATAATAAAACTTTTATCTTTGAAATTCGACACTATATGTGCGTTGAAAGAAGTCTTCTGCATCTATGCAGATCGCCTACATTATTAATTTGCATAAAATCATGCCATCCATATTGACAAACTGATCTTTCTTTTTCTACTCTCCATTTCTTTCTTATCGCTATCATTACAGGTAATGCACTTTCGAAATTTAAATTCCCAGTTGAATATTATATCAGAAATGAGATTAAACATTGATCTAAATTAGAGAAACCTTAGACGAGAGAATTGTTGCATTCAATGTTATTATTCTCTCTAAATTATTTATTTAAATTGACTTTAAATCTATTCAGAAAAATATTTTAAAACGTTATTAATANACGTGTATTTAATACAGAAAAATCTATATGAGAAGTAATATTATATTCCAGAAAATTGTTATTGTTTGTTAAAAATTATAAATTAATAGCGGTAAGAAAAAGCATTTGGCTTCTGAGAGCAGAATGCGATCAGGAGAAGGCAGCTTTACAGGCTGGCGAATTCTTTGGATTTTTGCTTAGTTGATCAATTTCATCGAGTTTCTCATTAATATTCATAAATAATTCCATACTTGAAGAAGTTTTATACTTCTGTAACGTCCACTTATTACCCTCAAACGAAGAAAATTAAATTTGTATCCCGATCATTGAACTAAAGCTTGAAGTTATGCTTCGTTCCTTTAGATCTAGATGAAAAGAAAGCCGTTTGTCATTACCTTAAAGTAATTTCATTATAAATTAATGAGATAAAAATAAAACAAATTTTAATAACTAGTTAATGAGCGATAATATATATTTATATATAAAATTTTTGATACTAAGTGAGTGTAAAAATTAATCCTTAAACTTTAAAATTGTGTCATAAATTCAACAACTTATTTTTAAAAACAATTAAAAATTTTAAAATAAATTAGTGCAGAATTTAAGTTTGTTTTATGAATATATTTACAGCTGTTTTATTATTAAAACATTCGTTTAATGCTTGTGTGAAAAACATTTAAGATAGTATCGACTCATCTGAATGTGCAGAGCAATAGATCGTATCGTAATGCAAATATGAGTTTAAAAATAACTAAATTCTTACAATTTTCGTAAGCGATGCTGCACAATACTGGAATAAATGGTAATAAAAATCTATTTTACATAATTACTTTTTCTGTATTACCAATTTTATGCCGATTTACTTTGTGTGGAGAAGTTTAATAAACGTACTTTGAGCATTAATAGTAGTTAAGGTAATTAAAATATTTAAATGATTATCGAGTTTAACAAAATTCAATTTACGGAGTTAAATGCGGAGAAAACGGGATTTTCGTGTTTGTCAAAATTTTAATTTTCGTTTTGTTTAACAGAAAAATTCAAACTGAAAGCAGTAATCTGAGGTATGCAAGTTTAACTTCTCTTTAAAAGTCAGGAAAGAGACTAGTAAATTTCTTCTCAACATTTTAACGACTTGTGGGAAGGAAGGAAAAGTGGTGGAAGAATTTGTAGCAGGTCTCCATCGAATTACAAATTAGGAAACTCAACATTCACTTATCCTTTTGCTAGACACACATTGTAAGTTTAGCAGAATCAGCAAAGCATCGTGTCACCGTTACTCGCAACTAACGCATGAAAATTCAACTTCACATTACGGAAACGAGTAAGATAATGGATGTCAGAGGTTAGTCCTGTTCCTCTCATTATGATGTGCATATCTGGCGGACACAAACTCTCGCACATTAAGTGGATAATGGTTTGTGTAAACAAATATCGATAAGAATGAGCTGGCTAAAATTTTATTATTTTAGTGACGACAGTATGAGGTCCTGTAAAAGTAGGTAAAAAAATGTAAAGTAATAAACGAAGGAAAAGTTGTTATCGAAAAAATGGCTTTTATAAATTAATTTTAAAAATAAATTTGATTCAATTACATGTTAACAAGAATATCTCCTTACATAAATACTTAAACAAACACAACTGTTCATCAAGTAAATATTTCCAACCAACTTCAATTTGTATCTTCTCTAAGAATATAAAATACTCTTTGTATGTAAAGTGTTTCACGCAATTCCCAGGGCAGACAGCAGGTGTTGCTAGAGATGAAATGGCGGCATGCACGAAAGGCTAAATCCTAAAGTAATTCCTGAAATTGTAAACGGAATTGACGCTTTTCTTCCTAAGAAAAAAAAATTTCCTTTTCTTATTTCACAATTTCAATTAACTTATCGCACGTCTAGAAGAAAAAAAGGGGAAAAATACATATATGTATGTATTTGTATGCAAGTGTTCTTCTATTTTTAATATTTAAAATCGAAATAAATTTATTCATGAGAGAACGATAGTGCCAAATATAAAAATGATATATTATTTTCTTTACTAAAATGCTTTCGTTATAGTTATAGGAGCGGATAGAAATCGATAATAAAGTTAGTTATTAATAAAAATCCTATAGATTTAGTCCAGAAGAAGTGCAGAATGGACGCGAACAGCGTCTCTAGCGGACGTAAACTAAATTGCCTCGCTCACAGTTTTAAGCAGCCTTAGCATGCAATTGCATGTCAGTTAGACTGGAGCAGTCGGTTGTGCGGCCGCCAGACAGAGCAGAGACTGTCAAGGATAGCGTGCGGTCATGTCCCGGAATTCGTCATTATAAATCAAACCATGTAACCAGAGTAAAATACTCAGATGTCCGGATACGTACTACCAGTTCTAATCCTGTTGCACCGCTTCTCAGGTGAGTTTCTTTTGGCGTAATCCGTATCTACCTCTATCAAACTATCGCTAATGGGACGAATTATATAGTTCCGGAAGGTTTAATTCTCGAAGGACCAACTTTTGTGGAAGAGCCACCGGGACACGTGGGTTTTATCAACACCCAAGGTACTGAGATACGATGTAGAGCCCAAGGTTTACCTGCACCGTCAGTTCAGTGGTTGTTGCAGGATAGCAGACCCGTGTCTCCTGTGCCTCAATTGTTAGAAGTCAAGGAAGACGGCACTTTAGTTTTTCTTCCCTTTCTAACAGAGGATTATAGATCAGAGATCCATGATACTATATATCGTTGCACCGCCAGAAACGTCATAGGGGTTGTTAGTAGCAGAGAAGTCAGGCTAAGAGCAGGTACGTTTGATTAATATACTTCTTTCTTTAAATTTTAATTATTCTTGTTATAAATTTTAACTTTCAAAGTTTAAACTTAGTTTAATATTATTCATGACTCGTAACTTAAAGTATTTATTTTGTGTCCACGATATTCCCAAAACTCATGAATATCGTATTCATGATGTATAAATATTTATGTGGTTAAAAAATATATATTTTAAATTTTTAAATTTAGCTAGAGAAAGTTTAAACTTCTAGGAATAAAAATTAAATTAAATGATTCGCATGTAAATACAATTCGTTAAATATTTTAATATGAAAGATTGAATGGCGCAGGATTATTGAAAAATTAATGAATAGCCAATTTCCTGTATTTAATATCTTGAAAAATGATTAAATAACATTTAAAATATTAATTTTTTTATTGGAAAATGTTTTGTAATATATAAAAAGACACATTGAAAGTTGATACAGGAAACTTTAACACAATTTTTATTCTTTGTAGTTAACTTTCAGTCATTTTTCTTCGTCGCATCAAGTTAAAAATGCTCTCAAACTCGATGAAAGATAATACTAAAATAATATCAAATTATTCCAAATCTTCGACTTTATCAATTATCGATCGACAATGTTTTACTTGTTGACGAAAGCCACAAAGCCACTTCAAACATCTGTCATCCAATTTCATAGATTTTAATCATAGTTTTATAGAAAAATTTAAATATCTACAATATTTTTATTACTACTACTACTACTAAATATTTATTAAATCATAAATTAAATAATCTTTTAAATAAATATTTATTTAAAAATTTAATATATATACAGACACACACTGCAGTCTTTATCAATAATGAAATTTTGCTGAAAGTTTATAATTTTCTTAGTTTGATTGATTCACTTTCGAGTTGGGATAGTCAGGAACTCGCTAGAACAAATTATTGGCTGATGTGCAATATATGTATTTAATGGAAGCACTTTCGCAGATATTAAGAAAGAAAAAAAAAAATAAAAGAGAGGAAAAAATGCAAGTGAGGCTACAAGAATCCATTTAGAGTGAGATTTTACTTAATACATAAATTAACATAAATGCTAAATCCTGGATGGTTGAGTTGGGATGTACAAGAGTGAGTCGTGTCTTCGAAAATGGCATAAATGTAAAACATCATTTAATTACGCCTAGCTAGTGGAGGAGTGGTATGGCAGCGACAAACGTTTTGTCTTCTTATCGATTAGTTGTGACACCTAACAGCTGCCGGACGTGCATACAGATTGAAGGTGTCACAGGAAACTTGTCACAACTCTTGTAAATGCGAACGTATCGACCGTAAAGATCACAAGAGACGGAGAAGCTCGTTAACGTTTTGTTTTCAGTTGGCAAATGTCTAACTAAATTCGAGTCGATGGTTGAATTTTGTCATGTATTTCGGGACTGTGTTTTATTGATTCTCGTTCTGCATTTTTCCGTTAGTGTTTCGATTTTACTTTCGCTTTCCCTCGGGGCATAATAGCCTCATCAGGCAATATATGTAGCTCCGTCAACACTCCAGCTACGCTATGATAAAGATAGAACTGCACGGTAACGATAAGTCTGAACACGATGGGATAGCAATAACATTGCGAAATATAGATAGCCCCGGTGTGTTTTTGTAAAAGCTGTATCACAGTCCGAAATTTTCTGAATAAAATGTGGGATTTTATGGATATCGATCATAAAATGTCAAACATCTGTTCTATGCATCCTTATCTCGATACTCACAGCTGAAGATGCCACAGAATTGTTACAACATGATGAAACATTCAAAACCAATTGAAAAACCAAAAACACTCTAAATATATTTACTCGGTCGCGAATTTAACAAACTTCTCCGTTTGTTTTTTAAATTATTTTTCGATATTTTACCCCGCGGTTGTTAGAAGATCGCGACAAAAAAAAGATAAAAAGAAACTGTTAATTTCTCATCGGATGTTAATTATAAACTTTTTGTTTACGCCTTTTAGTCTCCAGGCAATAAGCTGTAAACTCTACTTTCAACTTCCTTCAGAGAAGCTGATGGAGCAAAGTAATTAAAATATGGCCTCTTAATCTGAGAAGAGAACGCGCAAATTTTACTTAATGACACAAATTACAAGTTTAGATACGTTTTAAAAATATATTTAAGAAATTTTTTAAAACTGTTTTTAAATAAGTAGAACAGTTTTTGTTTATATCCAAGATTTAATAAAAATAAATAAATAAAAAACATCGTAATCACCACATCATACTCGAGAAATAATAGTTGTGTACTATTTAAAAAATAAGTTAAAAAAAGGAAATGTTGTTTAAAGAAAAAAAAATCGTAGTAAAGTTTCTAGATTAACAACAAACTGCTCCACGAGATGCCAAATTTTCAAAGAAACAGAAAACCATAAACATTATCTTCTAGTTTAATTCAAAAATTAATCCTTTTAAATCTAATGGAAAATGGTGTTTCGGTGATATTTTCAAACACTAATTGACTTTTTTTTAATGTAATTTTCTGGAATTAATTTGAAAGAAAAAAAATTTAAACATTAAAGTAGTTTAAATTTGCTACATTTTTAAAAACAGGTAAACTTTTTTTTTCTTACCCCATCTCTAATTCATAATCAATTGGAAATATGGCAAATAAGGAATTATTTACGCTTAAAATTTATGCTGTTAAGAGGGAGACGACAGAATGATATTTTCATTCAAAATATTTGTAAAGTAATAAATGAAGGAAAAGTATGCAGAAAGGACATCAATTATGTTAAAATAAACGCAAGCAAAATGTAAAAATGATATATTGAAATCATTATTAAAACTTGGAATTTCGCTTCTTGTACACGGCATAAATTTAATCAAGGACACATGCAATATTTTCCAATTCTTATACTTTTCGTCTAGCCAAATATTAAGGATATTTATTCTATAAACTTCTGAAGTCATCTAAATTCCAAATTTATACAGGTAAAAGCCTCGAGAGATGGAGAAACTCTTTAAAATTTTTTTGTATGTTTTTTTTTTTTTTAAATTTACATCACGGCGTAACTCTGATATTTACAGCAATATATATATATATATATATATACCTTATACTTTTTGAATTTAGAAGAAGTTTAATTATATCGTTCCACTTAAAACATCTGACATTCGCTGCAGCTGTGTCACAAAGAAAGAAAGAGCGAGCTATAAAAAAAGCAAATTACCCAGACAGATACTAAGAGATTATCAACATTCTTTCGATCATCTACTTCACTCAGACACCCATTACTTCTTTGTAAGTTGTTCAGCAAAATCGGAAATCAATGATACTCCAAAAGCTGCCAGCCATGTTAATTAATTATTGATGCATATTTGAACAAGGGAGTGCGTTAAAGCACAGTTTCGACCTATCAAGTAAATTCTTCAAGATGTATCTTTAAGATTAATAATAACAAGCGAGGAAAAAAATTAAAGGAAGAAAATAAAATCCCTAACTTATCCATCGTCGATATTGCTTTGAACACAGGAACGGGGGGAGAAAATGTGTTGTCATCGATAGAAAGCTGGTAACTCGTAATGGCATCTAGAATGACAGAAATCACAGTCCATGACTCGACATTACTCTTTCATTATTCATTATGTCAGTGAAGCAAATGTTGTGTTTTCACACTTGGCTCATACATAAATTCATGTTGGGAGAAAGTGAAGTTTTGTAATTACTGTTGTCTACAATTCGTCTGATCGATTAGAAGCCACGAATGTTAGTCAATAATAGACAGATGCTAGGTAAACATGTACTTAGTACAGCCAAATTGTATGTATAGGAAATTGCTTAGATTGGCTTGTTATAAGCAATTCATTACACGAAATAAATTATGATAAGAATTTAAAACTTATTTCTTCTTTTAGCGAACAAAAATACATTTCTTATTTAATTAAACTTGAATATTTCGCATAAATTATCTTCTGAGATGTATAATTTTAACAGATTTTTGTAGTAGCTTTCAAGTTTTATATCGGAAAATTGCTTTGGCGTTCTAAGATTGAATTTTGCTTTTCGGCATTGAGGTCAGTGGCAGTTTGACTGACAACAGACTACGTAAGCATTTGACAGATGCCGTACTGAATACTTGAAAACTGTAAAAAAAACCAGGTCTTTAGAAAGCTGCAAAAAATAGAATAAATAAAAATTTATATTTAAAAATTGAATAAAAAATTAGTGAAGACAAATAGAATAATAAGAAAATGTTAAATTACTGGAGATGATCATTTGTAACCTGATTATTTAATAAACGAGTGTTTATTCTTCTGCTCACTTTCTAAGAAATCCTAGCAACATGTGGTTGTTTGATTTTATAGCGTAACTATTCCATATTTACTATGGCTATAAAAGAACCATCTCGACAATTGAATCGTGCCAAGTTAGTCAACAAGTCTCTTAATCAAAATGAAAAAGTAAAAATCGAAAAGTTAAAGAATAAAGAAATGAGCAAAGTACTGACTTAGACTTAAGCAGAAATACATTTGCAATGATTCATTTCGATAATGTATTAAATATATAAACGAAAATGATAAACAGGCGTACGGGCGCGCATTCAATACTATAATGTTAATTACTCAAAATTGAGAATTATAAAGTATTATGCTAATAATAGAAAGATTATAACGAAGTGATAAAATTAAAAATAATTGCTTTAAAAAAAAAGAAAGAAATGAGTATCTTTATTACAAAAGTAATTCCCATGAGTGGGATTAAATATTCAGTTTGTCGTGCAACAAATGTGTTGGAATGAGACACCAATCTTCATCCACGTCATCTAACCCCCCTCAGAATTTGCCGAAACCTTTCCTATGGGGAATGGCACGGCCATAGACATTAATGTGCTGTCAAGAAACATTATTGCGCTTGTCCTTTAATGAAATTTCCTAGGGAAAATGCGACACTCACGCTGAGAGATCTCATTCACCACGCGTCATATATACCTCGTACCAAATATAATTATAAACCAGCTTAATTACTTGTCTTGTTATTGGGAGAATGTCACACTGGCATTCCTTGTTAATTTCTAGCAGAAGCAAGACGTAGCGAAGTTAAAGAATGTCGACTAATTGTTAATTTATGCGTTTTATTATATGTTTTGATCTTTATATATATATATTAAAACTTATATTTATATATTTATATACATCCTCGGATTATATTTAAATACTTTAAGATGATATTTCAGTTGAAGGAAATTTATAAAGTTTTCCAAAATCCTCAAATATGCTGAAGCAAGCAGAGTTTGTGAAAAGATTTCCAACTATTTTGCTCTTTTTGACATTTTTGACATTTGCTAGATGTATATTAAATGAAGCGAAGAAGAAACGTCATTTTCCAAGGCTGAATTTTCATCTAGTTTTATTCGTCTATAATAATTTGTAATAATTAAAGAATAACAAAAATACATTATTTTAATGGTATTTAGTTATTTAAAATTTGTTCGAGACGATCGATATTTAGGTACTCTTCTAGATAATAGAACTACTTTTATTTTAGAGATGCATTGTCGATAAATTGATATTGAAAAATTCGATACTTAGTATTATGAAATTCTTCCGTTTCATCTCTCAGCATTTCATATTATTGAAATTTCTCTATTTATTACTTGTTATTTAGTATTATTAAATTCCTCGTTTTATGCCATCCATAATATTCAATATTGCTGCAATGTCTTCTATTACTAATGCTCTTAATATTTAATATTGTGAAACGAGCCATTCACTAAAATATAAATATATATATATATATATATATATTCAGTACTGTGAAAATTTATGTTTCTTGCATTCTTTTTTAAAAAAATTGCTACTATTAAAAATTAATCAGTACTTTCAAAACGTTGCTTAATTTTTTCCACATCAATCAATTTTATTTAGAAAGTAAAATAAAATGTTTACGTTCTATTTAAGCACGTTTACTATAAAAAATCAAAAGAATATCTACCATTTTAATTAAAAAAATAATTAAAATGGTAACTATTTTCTTCTATTTTATTTTTGGGCTTTCATTAGTGACCGAATACTGGTCGAAGGTTTGCGCCTTACCAATGGAGCGTGCAGTTTTCCAGTTTTTTTTCGCGTGTACAACACCTAATTAGGGACCAGTTTACCATAGAAAATCCTCCTGGGAGGTATCCTCCCTTGGCAGATCGCCCAAGTGTTGCATTGTCTTATACCACCAATCCTATCACATCCCATTTTATTTTTGATTTTGTTATTTAAAAAAAATGGTTATATAATTATTTCAAATTTTACTTTTTTTAATTAATGATATTTAATAGTGTCTTCTCTTCATTTATTTTTTTCACTTTTAAATTTGTCATGATTTTATTTTAAACCAAAAAATCCATAAAATTTGATACTTGTTGTAAACAAAATTAAAGAAATGTTATTTTGTTAAAAATCGTTTTAAAGAAGATAGAAATCAATTTTGATTAGCATCAGATCTATTTTCCTAGTCTAACAATATAAAATTATGTTTTTCTATTCATTAAAAATGACATTTATCTTTCATAAAGACACTTCAAAATAATTTAAGAAAACGTATTAAGTTTGATGCTGAAATTCAACATTTGAATCTGTCCGTAACGTTCTTTCATACTGTATTTTTGAATTTTACCCGATTTCTTTAATATAGCGTTGATTTGGAATCTTTTAATATCCCTATTCTAAATACAATAAATTATTTTCTGGAGTTTATTTTCGCTTATTTAATTTTACGTGCGATGCGATATTTTAATTTTCTGTTGCTATAATTTTATGTAATTATTCTAAAGACTAATGCACACGGGCGACATATTAAGACGATAATGAACGTCAACGACAGGTTAAACCAATCATCTATTTTAATTTCAATGTCAAAAGAGACGATTGGTGGAACCAGTCGTTGACATTCAATATCGCTTTAATTTTATCGCCCGTGTGCCTTTATTTTTCTTCGATTTTCTAACAATATACCAATTGTTTTTAGATTTATTATCATTAAAATTTCTTCATTAACTGTTGTTCTCAGTCTTAAAAATTTATCTAAATAATTATTCAGGGCAGCAAAATAAATAAATACAACCAGTTTTTTTTTCAATTTCTCATCTTTATAGCCATTAAATTATTCGAATTTTTTCAGTTTACGTATTTTTTTTAAATGCTGTACATTTTCTCGGCAATAATTTAATTCCTGAATTTTTTTATTGCCTTTTATATTTCTTTAAAATTGTCTTTTTTTTTTAAAAACTTTTTTTAATATTGTTACATTTTCCCAGGTAATGTTGCTTTCCTTTCGTGTAATTCTAACATTTTCCTGTAGTTTATCCAATTTTCTTTTTACCCGGAATCATTTCAATTTTTTCAATTTATGTTAACTTTAGCTATGTTGTAATTTCTTCATTTATTTTCATCCATAGTGATGCTGCAATTTCCCCGTTTTCTTTAGCCTTACCGAAATTCTTAATCTTTATATTTTTAGTAAGAAAGTCTCTCTCTGTATGATTTCATTCGAAACTTTAAACGTAGCAGAATTTAGCTTTCAAACAATTGCTGAAACGTTATATTTTTTACATTTTTTACATTAATAATAGATACTGTTATCAGTCAAATTCCTTATCGCTTTTGTAAGAAAATTTGTATGTAAATTGTTAATTAGATAATGGAAAATTGCTGTTGAATTGTCAAAATTGACGTTCTTTCTTTGAATAATAGCATCTTTTAATATTTAAACTACGACAATTATAAGCAAAATTAATAAAAATAAATTCTGAATTTAATATAAGTGATAATAAATAGGGAAGGGGGAAAAAAATAATTTTTCATATTTATTAAAAAGCTTATTTTGCACCGGTATGTTTACTCATTTTTAATCTTCTTCTGATAGAAATTAATCAAAATTGGATTTTAGTCTTCTAGTTTCATTTTCTTTTTTTTTAAAGAAAGAGAAAATGATATGAAAGTAATTAAATTCTCTGACGTTTTTGAAGAAAGATAGCGACTACAATGCTTAACGACTTTCTTCTCAGTTTAACTGTATGGAAAAGAAACAACGACCATTTAACTGGCATTGCAGCTTTGGTTTTCCTTTAAAGGGATTAAGCGCCGAAACAGAAATTTGATGCATACAACATTCTAGAGTCATTTGAATGAAAAGTTTTTTCTTGTTTTTTTTTCCAGCTCCTTTCTGTATCACTGCCAATCGTTTAGGTAAATGGCTTCAGACAAACTTGCAGACAATCCGATAATGTTAGATATAGCAACAATAATTGATTTTTTATCATGTCGAAACTCTCGTTACATTAATTATAAAATTCTTAATTATATTCGACGATTATCCCTTCGATAATTGCTAGATTCGAAACATTTTGAATGATAATCAACGCGACAAATCGTTATCGATTTTCGTCAGTAATGATTTCATTAAAATAAATTCGACATCTTCCTATTTCGTTTCTCGAAAATTTGACTTTTTCTTTCTTTTTTTCTTTTTTTTTTTACCTTATAAAATTCTTAAAAATCAAGATATTTTTCGAGTTTTTTTCCCTGTCTNTATTGCGAGAAAATGTACAAGAGACACACTAAAACTATTCTCGCTTGAAAGAGTATGCATTTCTGTATTTTATAATAATGTATAAAAAGTTTTTGCAGTTTTATTTAAAATTTAAAATCCGATTTTTGTCTTTACTAGAAGAATTTTTTAATGTTTATTTTTTTTCCTATTAACTGAACTTCTTTATTCAAGCTTTAATGCAAGATTATGAAGTACAAGTGTATGATCAGTATGCGATTTATGGTACAACAACTGTGTTTCGCTGTCACGTAAAGAGTCCAATTCGAGATTACATTCGTGTTACAGAATGGAAGATAAATGATAACTTAACAATCACTGCATCAGAAACAGGTAAGTCTTATTATTTTTTAATAATTTATTATACTGTAAATGAATGCTGCGTGTTTAGAATCCTAACAGTGACAAATATCGGATAGTGTTTCTAATGGACACAAGGATGTGATTATGTCGACAGTTTCGAGCAGCTTGTTGTCTAATTACAGAGAAAACTCATTTCTTTCCCATAAAGCTTCTCATCGACTATCTCAGTTTCAGAAAACAATTAAGTAAAGTGGAGGATCATCATCTACATTAACGATGCTTTATTTTCTACGGTTGAACAATGGTTAATATTTAGAATTCTTTGACAACCGACTCATTTACTAATTGACTTTTGAGAATAATGAAAATAGCTTCCAAAAATGCCTTATAAGTTCGCTAATTATTGTAAAAGTTTAAAGAATTCTTTAACAGATAAACAACGAAGTGACTTTTTTTTTTTTACAAAAGAGCTTTTTATTTTTATGGATAACATAAAATTGCTATTTTGTACATAAATTCTCACTACATTTGGGGAATGTATTATCTATCTGTTGTTTCCAGATCTGTCCGACTTATAGATGTGAAAGCACATTCTCCACTTCATTAATTACTCTCTTTATACACACCCAAGTGTTACCCATCATTAATTTTCTTCTCGGATTACAGCTATATGGTGCTCATTAAATCATGTTTCTCATTCGAGTTTCCATTTATTGATAGAAACTTATAATACCGACGAAAAATATTTAAAATAAAAATTCGAGCCATTGTGCCGTGATGATCATTAAAAATTATTGCTATTTTAGCCAGAAACCGTTTATAAATNGCTATATGGTGCTCATTAAATCATGTTTCTCATTCGAGTTTCCATTTATTGATAGAAACTTATAATACCGACGAAAAATATTTAAAATAAAAATTCGAGCCATTGTGCCGTGATGATCATTAAAAATTATTGCTATTTTAGCCAGAAACCGTTTATAAATCTGTCGTTTAAATATTATTGATGATAATAAACTGCTACTTTTAAAATTTAATAGTTAATGTATATTAATATATTCTCTCTTTGTATAGCATATAGAAACTGAAATTGCTATAGTTATAATTTTCTTTATGTTTTTAAGCTCGGCTTAAACAGATTTTATCGTTATTTAATATAATTTTCATTAACACGTAATATATGTGATTAAAGATGCTTTAATCTGATACTTTTAACGGGGTAAGTTGTTTAGTTTAGTTGATAATCGCCACAAACGACGTCGTCAACGTTACGACACCAAAACTTATAACTGAATTTACTAGAAAATTTTAAAGTTTATATTTTAAAATATTCACGAAGATGTTAAAGTTTGTGAAAAATATTTTTTTAGTGTAATTTGATATCGTGGATTTTTTTTAGAACCGAATGTTGTGGATAAATATGTTGCTTTCCCAACTGGAGAATTACACGTGCATCAAGTAACGCATTCCGATGGGCATTCGAAATTTAAGTGTAAAACTGTTCATAAATTGACTGGAGATCGGAAAATCAGTAAAGCTGGAGGACGTATTGTCGTCACAGGTAAGCGGAAACGGCAAACACTTCAACTTTAACAAAGTTTTGGAGAGTTGCTAGCGGAAGTAGTGCACTCGATAGCTTTTAAATAGTAAATTCATTCCTTATATTTGTGATAAATTCTTTCGTAGAACCTGTTGGAGGAATGTCACCAAAAATTATTCATAGTAAACCAAAAGTATGGGCTACTCACGGCCAAACTGTGATGCTACCCTGCGCTGCTCAAGGTCAACCTCCACCGAATTATACATGGGTCAGGAAAGAGAAAGGCAGAAACACTATGAAAAACAGGATCCAACAGAGCATTCACGGCACTTTAAAAATCCCAGGAGTTATAGCCGCTGATAGCGGCCGTTATATATGCTACGTTAATAACAGCCAAGGTACAGATACAGCAGAAACTGAACTGGTAGTCACAGGTTAGTTTTTTAATGTTATGAAAAAAATAATAAATTAAATTTTGTTAAACGTAAACAAAATATATTTTTTTTTCTTTTTGCTTATCTTTTCGATGTTAATAAGTACTTTATTATTTTTATATATTAAATTTTTTAATTAATGACGTCACCAGGCGCGCACACCACATGATTTACTGAAGAATCTTCTATCGCTAATGGAAAATCAATGGTAGCAGTTTGGTTATAAAAAAGGAAAACAGGAAAAAGTTAAAAAGTTTAGTGATGCGGTAGTCAATCGTAATTTTACCGTAAACATCTCAATTTACGTATAGACGATTTTTTTTTCTTTTGATGTCGTACGGTATCAATATCAGAAGATACTTACGTTGGAAGACATAATGACTTCATTAAACAACATTTAAAGTACGCGTAAGAGTTACAAGAAGCGTTTTGAGAATGGCTGACGATGCGAGATTTTTTTAAGATTGTTTCTTTATACTTTTTTCCCCCTTGTAAAAAGTAATACTCGGTTACAAGAAAAGAGAATGTCAATAAAAAGGCAGCTGTATTGGAAGGCGAGTTGTGTTCAACAGTAACACGATACAAGCTCGAAAACAAGCTTGTCAGCTTATATTTCGGTTTACTATTTGTTTCTATATAGAATATGAATTTGAAGCAGACAGAATCAATATTGATGGATTCTTATGCCGTATAGGAATGGATAGTTCATCGATTATGTTTTAAGCAAGTTTAGTTCTCATTTCTTACAGAATTAAACGAATTAATGAAGAACGATTTATCCATAGATAAAATAAATTTCATCTTTCTTAATAATTTATAACTAAAGTATTTGACAATGTTTTCTTTATACAAATAAATATTCCTATTTTAAATTTTAGATTTAAGGGGGAAAAAATGAAATTTTATCGGTAGGTTCTGACATAATTTTTTCCTTCACCTTAATGGTATTTAAAGAGACATTAGAGAAAGACAAATTATTGGAAGTGAAAATATCGACAATAAGTTCAGGAAACGTAATCGGGGTTGGGATATAATTTCAACTTTTTTGAACAAATGGTGTATTTTGACGTCAGAGGTCACAAAATCTTGCCATTAGTCACAATCACGGATCGACTTCTCCGTTATGGCGAAAGACCACTTAGAACGAGTCGCCCTACGACAATCGCCAAAGTCGTAAATTTTATTCGCCTGACAGAAAAATGTTTCTATGACGACAGCTTTTCTCGATTCATAACAGCTGTTGTTTGAAAATAAGCAAGATCCGATGACAAAATTCCGTGACGTAATATAGGAGAAAGACATTAGAAAATAATTTCACTTTCTCTCTCGGAAGATAATTTAGAAATTTTTATTAAGACATATAATGTCCCATGTACTTTACTAGAATAAAATTATTTCATTTTAAGCATTTTATAATGTTTTTATTAACTATAGTTTATTTTTTAAGCATTATGGTTAATCGCTTTCCATTTCTGTAACTATAACTATATCCCAAATGATATCAGTCCTTCCATGCCATGAGTTAATTGGGAGATATATATACACTAAAAGAGTAATTTTCAATATTTGGAGATATCTTTGACAAAAATATGAGAATAAGTTATTCGTTTTCTTCAGAATATTGCGAGAAAATGTACAAGAGACACACTAAAACTTACTTCTGCTCTTTCAAATATTGAAAGAGCAAAAGTAAGTTTTAGTGTGAAGTATATTGAATATCTCTTATTTAATCTCTTGTCTTTGTAGATTATAGTTTCCTTTACGCGAAAAATATGCTCTAGTATTAATATAATATGCTTTAAACTTTACGGTAATTGGATAAAATGATTTTCTTCTTTTTATAGTACCTGTAAAGGTGAATATAGATCCGCATCGTTTGGTAGTATTAACTGGAGAATCTGCAACTTTGACGTGTAACCAAGTGGGACATCCCATAGATTCAGTGCTGTGGATGAAAGATTTACATCACTTGACAGAAGATGGACGAGTTCAATTCGTAGGTCGAAATGTTCTACACATTCCAATTGTATGGAAGAAAGATCAAGGAATGTACCAGTGTTTCGTTTATAGTTCGGGTACGACCGAACAGGCCATTGCTCAACTAACCGTCGGGGGTAATTTATTCAAATGTCTTTAATATCTGGAAAAGCGCAGATGCTTTATTCGATCGTAAAAATTGTTTTATATTCTATAACTTCTATTATCGATTCGTTGCAGACATAGGTCCTGTGTTGCACGACACATTCGGAGAGAGAATTGTGCATCCGGGTCAATCTGTCAGCTTCCGGTGTATGGCTTCCGGCCACCCCCTACCGGAAATCACCTGGTACGTGAACAGACAACCAATCGTCAATGAGGAAAACTTGAAAGTAAGCGATTATGTCACATCCCAAGGCCAAGTTGTCAGTATGATCAATTTGACAGACGTCACTGTCAATGACAGCGGTCTTTATGAATGCATGGCTCAAAGCAGTGTTGGTAGAGCCAATCATGTAGCTAGATTAAATGTCTATGGACCTCCAGGGATTCGCCCAATGGCTAATGTCACTGTTATAGAAGGTCAGAATCTATATTTGGAATGCCCCGTGACGGGTTATCCTTTGGATTCTATTACGTGGGAAAAAGGTTAGTGCATAATGTATTTTATCATGAATCTATTAGAGATTTCATGCATTTAGTTGTAAAAAGCTACTGATTAAATCTCCATTATCTTCATAACTAAATGAATTTTCTGCGTAAGTGAATGTTAGTTATCATTACAAGGCTTTATAAAGATAATTATCTATAAGAAAAAAAAAGCGAATTTATGGTCATTTAAGCCCTATTGTTCTAATATAACATCTTAAAAATAACCTTTAAATATTAAATAGGATTAAATAAATTTTTTTATTTTAATTTACTTAATGATAATGGCATTTAAAATAATAGTATCCTATTGATATCTTGAAAAACAGAACATTACTATTATCATTATTATCAAACCTCGAAGCTAGGTAGGTTTTTAATTATGTAGAGTTTAACAAAAGACGATAAAGTTTCTTTCAAGATGAAAATGACTACATTATCGTTATCTTATCTGCGCTGAATAAAAATAGAGGAGAAAAAAATTGTCTTCAAAACTTTTTGTGTTTGGCTCTCATTAATCGATGGAAGTTTTTAAACTTTCCAAAATGACTCACTTTTGAAAATAATTTTTTTCTTCTACGTTTGAAGAAAAGACTATTTCAATTCGCTTCATTTATTTTAAAGGCCCTCATGGCTAAAATCGTGATCCACACACTTTCCATATTAGCATCTATCAAGAAAAACTAAACAACCTCAAGTCCCAAAGTTGGCTATTTGCCTACATTCTAAAAAAGAAAACAGGAAAAAAAAAACATTCAATTCCATCAGTTCTGTCTTCCGAGTGGATAAAAAAATAAACAGATAGTCCAAAAACAAGTTTGCTAACATCCATACATTTCTCTGCACTGAAACAGAACAAGTGATTATAATTTCCAAACAAAACAAGATCTTTTCTTTTCAGTTTCTATGTTGATTTTCTGTTTACACTCAACTGTTTCGATCTTTACAGATCAATCAAAAGATTACTTTTTCCTTTATTTCTTCCAAATTTAGAAGTGTTTTGGCCAAAACTCAATTTCTTGATTCCTGCATTTAAATAACATGGGAGTTGGCACAGACAATGATTGATGTCTTAACTTTGCAGCAATTCTGGTTTTCGAATACTTCTTCAGACAGATTTCTGGCCACTTTTTTTCTCGTAAAAATCCATTAAAAGTTTATATGATCTCGATGATAGATAGATAATAAATTTCTATGAATATAACTGCAATAAATTTCGCCATAAAAATTTAAACTAATATATATCCCCCCTTTGTAATTCGAAACTGAATTCGTATTTCTAAAGCGAAAGTAAGGAACAGATATCTCAAATTACCTGTTTAGAAAACGAAGTTAAGTGAGAAGACTCTCGAGATGACATCAAGACCTAACTTTTCCTTTTCACAATCTTCAGTTCCCAGTAGACACGTGTTCAATCCCACCTTGGTTCGCATTCCTCTCAGATTTAATACATCGAAGATTATACTGGCTTTTATATATACGTACAGTACATTTTTTTTCCCTGAAGAATTATTGAGAAAATGAAAAATTACTCAGACGACCATTTTAGAGAAAAATAAAGATAAAATAGATGTGAAGTTCTAACGCTTGTTGAATGAGTGCAATGTTAAAGAAACTAAAAATAATCGAATTTAATGATTTTTGAACGTTTACAGTAGCTCTAAATGATCTTTTTTCTTGTTTGGGAGGAGACTTTCTGTTCAAACTATAAATTTTATGTTTAGTTTTTTTTTTCCTCTTTTAGTTTTGAGATTAAAAATGAACGAAAGATACAAAATAAAAAAAAAAGTTTATCGGAGTTTAGAGAAATTTTTTAAGAGAGAACTTTAAATATTCTTGTCTTTCTTTGTATTGTGGAAACATTCCTTCTGTGTAACTAATGATAGAAAAAATTCTCCATCCTTATTTATAACAAATCTTTTCCACGTTAAATTTCTTCCACTCGACTTACCGGAATAGAGATCATTATACAGAATATAGAATTTATTTTAAAACTTTTTCTGTACATTATCAACACAGAGATAACAAGATGGAATACAAGTCGATTGGTTCGATGTCTCTCTTCTACCCTTTTTCTTATCAGAGAAAATTAATCGAAAGAATAAAGATACACTAAAGATCCGACTGCATCATCAGACTGACTGCATCTTGATTTAACAAGATAAATATCTTCGTTTAGAACCGTTCAAATTTTTTCTTGTTTAAAATTTTCTACTTATTGAGTACTGTTTAAGATTTATTTTTTAGAATTTTGTTCGAGGCAAATCAATAATATCTACAGAAATTATAGTATATTCTCAGATTAAGATGCTGAGATACTTTTCTGTTATGATGTTAATCTCTATTAATATCATAGCAGCATCTCAGTTAATCAGCATTATTTAATATATCAATATGGAGGATTACAGATATCTTTATATAACGTTGTAGACTGGGCCGGATTTGCACATAAGCTAAACAAGCTGCAGCTTAGGGCCTGGTTCTATAAGTCTACAGCTTAGTGCCTCACATTTTTACACGTATCGTTAGTTAGTGGAGTGGAAGGGCCTGTTATATGACAAATCTGAGTCAAACTTATATGTAATAGTTTCTAAGGAATACGCTGAAAGCTTAATAAAAATAAAAATTCGGATAAACTAATTTTTTACAATCTGATTATTTTTATTTAAATATATTCCTAACAATATTACCCAATTCCATTTCTTTAGTTGAATTTATTTATCTATATACAGTACTTTAAAAGTATTAAATGTAAACAAATTTATATTCAATACTTTTAAAGTATTAAATGTAAAAGAAAAATATTTATTCTAAGTATATATTATTGAAAAAAAATATTTTATTTACTACAGTTTATTGTTTATTGTATTTTAAACTGAAGCCATGAATATAACTTTGTTATATATACATATATATCATATACTGTATACGTGTATGTTTGCGTGTGTGTGTGTGTGTGTGTGTGTCTAGTCACATATATATTTATTTATATAGAAAATTAAAAAAAATAATACGATATAACAGATAATATATATTGTTGAACCTTTAATAACGGCCCACCTCTATACAATGGCCATTTGTTCAGGAACTCTTGTTTTAAACAAAAACGCATACAAAATAACCTCCATTCAACGGCCATTTTTTAAGTTCCTGTCAGTAGCCGTTTTTCAGAGGTTTCATTATATAAATCATATGATAAAAAATGCTAAAAAAAACCATGACTTTTCCGATATAATTTTTGCTTTAAATATGATGCGTAACATTAATAAAAATCATATACTTTATTATTCCATTTTTTTGTGAAAAAATAAATCAGTAAAACAGCAAATATTTCACTTTTTAAACAAATAGTCGAATCAAATCCGTTTTTTTTATGTAAATGAAAATATTTAAAATATTTTTAAAAGAGAATATATTTTATTAAAATTTATTCTACCGTTCAATAATAGAAAGTTTAAAAGTTTAAATTGAGGAATTCAAACTTAAAACATGAGAATTTTATTTTATTTTTATCTTTTCCTTCTATTTTTAAAAATCAAGTTCATTCAGCGTAGTTTTAAAAAACAATTGAGTTTCACGTTATTAATTAATTTTACTTCTCATCGATACAGAATAATTTTTAAAATATTAATTTAAAAATTAATATAAATAAGCGATATGAAAAAATTATACAATATTTCTTTGATAAAACAATTCATTAATCGAAGAATTACTAATTAGAGTAGCTTTTTTTCTAATTTCTTTTTTTACTTTTTGCAAACATATTTAATTAAGTAAAACATCAATAAAATATACAAGTAAAATCCAAACAAACCTTAAGAAAGGATTAAAACCTGGACTGTTAAGCAAGTCCAGACTGTTCCATTAATATAACTTAATCGCAATCGCATTTCCTATAGCAATTCTTATTCATGAATGATGTTATAAATAACATTTAAGTACCTCTATCGCCATTAAAAGGAAATTTGAAATGAAAGAAAATAGCTTTCTTCTTACACTCATAATTTAAATTTAGAACTTCATATTTTATGGATATACTTAAGAACTTTACATATATCCTATCTGGTGCGTGTAGACGATGAGATTGTTAAAAAGTTGATTCATTAGCAATTTTTTTTTTATACTAAAGTAATATCAACTACTAGATGAAATCGTACTCATTTCAATGATATGTTGTTACCGGTACAGGAAGATTATTATTGAGAATTTATGAATATCGTTGAGACTTTCTGATAGTCATCGATAAGAGTTTTATAACATATCTATTAATTTTTATATTTATTTTAAGGTGGAATCGAGCTTCCTCTAGCTAGAAGACATTACACATATCCCAACGGTACTTTATTGGTGCAAGAAGTACAGAAAGATTACGATCAGGGATCTTATACATGCGTCGTTCGTAGTCAAGGAATATCTCAAAAGAGATCGGTAGCAGTAATTATTACAAGTAAGATATTAGAGTATTTTTAATAATATATATTTTATTAATTTTAATTTTAATTTTTTGTTTAAATTTTATTTAATAAATAAAAAGAGCCACCGAAAATAATCCCTTTCGAAACTCCGCGTGTACGTGAAGGTACATTAGTGGTTCTGACGTGTGCCATTAATCAAGGCGATCCACCTTTTGATTTGCAATGGTTCAAGAATGGGCAATCGGTAATTGCAGAAATTGGATTGACTGTTCAAAGACACGATATGTTTTCTATTTTGGTATTTTCCGAAGTTAAACGTCATCACGCTGGCAATTACACATGTTTAGCTAAGAATGCAGGAGGTTCTGCATCACACAGCGCTCTCTTGATCGTAGACGGTATGAAGATTATTTTTTTAAAGTTTTAATCATAATTTTTTTTAAATATTTTCAAAGTAATAGCGTTTTCAATCATATTTGCAATTTAATTTTTAAATTTTGCTTGTTAGTAGCAACAAACTTTTAAATTAATATTCTTTGCAGTTCCTCCTCACTGGCTGATAGAACCTGAAAATGCATCAGTTAT